GTTTTCCGTATTTAAACCACTAAAAGTTATGCACTTGTAGCAGGGGAGCAGAAAGCAAACCAGCAACTGGTCCAAACCAAACCTAGGTCCCCCAGCTAGGTGCCCTTTCTTTTACCATTTCTTGGTTGGGAGGGGAACCCCCTGCTAAAATGACGGCAGAAAAAAGTTGGTGCCCTTATTCGAACCTCTCTACTGGGGGACCTAGCTTACTTGGCAGTTTGGATAGGTGGTTTGGTGGTCAAGGAGGGATAGCCCCATTTACCCTCCACAAGAACCAGGGGTTCAAATCCAAATCCAAAGTCACCAATTTTGGGGTACCTGAAGACAGACTTGGGACTCGAAATTTCTTTGTGGCCCCGATCGGTTGGTCAGGGCTCCTTAAAAGATACGTGTTGCCACCATTTGAAACATGTTGCTTTTTCCACCAAAACAAAGGGACACCACCATTTACAAGGCAATGCTCAGGTGTATAATGTAAGGATCCCTGTTGGTATTTGCAGGGGGATCATCATTCTAGGGTGCATTAGGTGGTGCAGGATTTCGTCCATCCACAGTAAAGGTCTATCTTTATCTCAAAACACGCTCCACTAGCCAGTGTTTTTTTCACTGCGGGCGGGTGTTTTGGGGCTTGAGCTAAGCTCCGACTGGGGTCCTGGTAGCCCAACTGACAAACTCAGCGGGAATCCTTTGCCGGACTTGTGCTTGCGTTTCTTGGTGGCTGCCAGCCATCCGGTTCCTTAGCTTTTTAGCCTTTTAGTGTTTAGTCGTTGGGTTTCCATGTAACCCACTAAAAGTTGTTCACTTTTAGCAGGGGATCCGAAAACGGGGGCAGCCCAGGTTTCTTGTAACTTTTTGGAGCGTGTCCGCCTAAGGCGCACAAGGGACTGCGCAGGGCCGGTGTTTTGGGACTTTGGAGGGGCAAGGTCAGACCAAGATCCCGGCTTCCTAAACCTAAACGACCGAAACCTCTAAAACCCTAAACCTCAACCCTGAACCCTGGACCCTAAACCTAAGTCCTACACCTACACTGGCAAACCCAAACCCAAGAGGTAACCTAAAACTGAAGGCGCGCCATGGTAAGGGTAGCGAATCACACTGAGGACAGATGGTTGGATTCCGGAAGACTGGTTCGTCCGGTTCCCTAGGTGTTCAATTTTTGACTTGGTTTGGTTGGGTTTCTATTCATCCCGCAAGTTTTCAGCTTTTCAGGGGATCAGAAAACGGAGAGAGGGACAAAAGCTGGCAGAGTCCTTCGATTTGCTAGGGCTCACGAGCCCCATAAAAGCATCCAACTGGTGGTTTCCTTCAAGGGAATTTACAGGTTTATGGGATTCCTTGAAACTGTTTTGGGGGTTCCCTCAAAGGAAACCACCAGTTACGATTCTTCATCTCAGGGCAATTCCATTTCTCGTTCCCTGGAATGACCCTCACAAAGCATCCAATTGGTGGTTTCCTAGGAAATCCCATGGCCCGCATCTCTCGCACGTCGATTTGCACCGAAGGTCCGACCACTCCATCTCCAAGCGGGGCTGGCGCCTCTGCCCGCCGCTGCCAGCTCAGGCCGCGGAACCCGCTAAGGCCGCTCCAGAAGCGGGCGAGGCGGGGTGAATCGGGGCTCGGAGGGGTTTGGGTTTTCTGACCTTTGCTCGGGTCACCCGGCAGGTTAGTATTTTTTGTGCGGACCTTGCCCTCTAGGTTTGGATTGGAGGTGTTGGAGGGAGGTTATGTACCCTTGCATAAGTGGTACATACTGCCTAACAAGCTTGTATTGGTGATATGTATTATAACCATCCCTGAATCCAAAACCCATACCCTCCCATCAATCAATCCACATTATCGACATTGCCATCAAGCCTGAGATTTCGGATCCCGGTTTGGGCCATGTTCTGTTAAAAGGCTCCATGTCTCGGGTCGATTGTCCACACCTCCGGTCACTTGGTTAAAGGATCCAGGAATAAAAGCCGACCCTTTGGAGCCTCGACCAAAATGGACCAAACTTCAGGTCCCCCCTGGGTTTGGGATTGGTTCGGAGTTGGGGATTTGAATCTGAAGGAACCCCCGGCTTTAGAGAGAAAAACATGGGGTTCACTCCACCCCTGAACGTGAATAATTACCCTTTACTTGGGGAGCCGAGTCTTATTTCAGGTTTAGGACGTGATAAATTTAGATGAACTTTTGGGGAGGTTGCATCCGTCGGTTCAAGAGGTAACTTGAAGAGGAAGTCACGTGTTTCAGTTTCTTTGGCTCAGGTCCTGTTTTATCACCGGGTTTAACAGAGAACTTCAAGTTGCCCCGGTTTTTTCTTGCTCAGTCTGGGAATCTGGCAGGCCGTTTTGGCCACGCCCCAAATGGATCCGATCGTAGGGGAGCCGGGGGGTTTCCTGGGGGTGGATTCCTTTCTATAGAAGCTTACCTCGTAAAAACACAGCTTTTCAAATTTTTGGGTAACATGGGCTATATGTCTGTAAAAGATTAACTTCCCCAGGGCTTGGAGTTTTAAGGGGTAAGGAAGGAGCAAGTCTCGTCGCCTGAGATGACGCTTACGCGCCCCGGTACCAAGAAAGGCACTTGGAAGTTGCACTTTCTGATTTTCAGCGAGAGAATGATCTCGGCAGTGCCTTTTTTTCCAAAGGCCCGGAAAGCCAAAAAAGCAGAAACCAAGATGTTGTGGAGTCCAAACGGGAACCTGATGGTTCAAATTTCCGAGGCCCGATTTTTGGGGAATTTGTGGGGAAGAGTTGCCGGAAGTGTGCAAACCCCATCCAACCCGCAGAGTTGTTTCGTGCTTTTGTCATGGTTCCAGTGCAGTTTCTCCTGAGGAGGCTGTGATTGTTTGTTTCCACACCAACCTGTCCAGCTGTCTATGGCGTGCATGCATGACTGGACGGGTGCGTTTGGGAATGTCACTTTAGCCGTTCTTCTTTGCCCAAAATTCGGCTCGTGCCACCCAGTGTCATGGGGTACCCTCAAAGAAAGACACCCCCATTTGGCTGTGGGTCAAAAATAGGTACCCAAAATGGAACCCTGGTAATCTCTTCCCCCTATTAATAAATACGCCCCCCCCCCCTCCCCTATTATAAATAAATCCTCCCAAATATATATATATATATATATATATATATATATATATATATTTGTTAATTTGGTTTTTGGGGTTGGGTTTTTTTTTGCTTTTCCAACAATGTGAGGGTTCACATAGGATTTGGAGGAAATGGATTGAATTGTAAGGTCCGCGAGTAAGCGGTTTAATAAGGAAATTTTATGTATCATTATATTTGTTGTTCAGTTTACTGGTTGTTTGTTTGCAGCCAGGCAGGTAAGCCAGCATGTACGGGGGAGAGACAGTCGCAGCTTAAAAGTGGGGCTGGAAGCTTGTTAAAAGCCCTCTAATAAGGATTCCAAGACTTTAGTATTGGTTTAGTATTGGCGCGATTAAAAATCAATTGTGCGGAGTGGAAATCTGGTCCCGGGCCCGGATTTCCATTTTTTATTAATTGGGGTCATTCATGAATAGGGGGAAGAGATGAAGTGGACCAACACCTGTGGTCCATATCCTAGTTTGATTTTGACCCACCCCCATGTCATGAATTTTTTGGGGCTCAGGGCCCATCCAGTTTTCCCCAGGACGGAGACGGGCGCCCGGCTTTCCTAGTGTACGCGCCTGTGCGGGGGCGCCCGTCTCGGATGTTCGGATCCATCCGGATCGGGCCAGAGGAGTTTTGCTTGAAGTCTCTGGATTTCATCCCCTCAGCGGATGAAGAATCTTGCTCAAAGCCATTTTGGGCGTGTTGTTTTCAGGATTCGGACACCCCAAAATGGCTAAAAGGGGTTCAACATGTTCGCTTCCCTCCAAAACCCACAAAAAAGAAAGGGGCACCAACTCCAAAAACACCACCCCCATTTGTCTCCCCGTAAATTAAAAAGGATGTGGCTCAAGATTTGAGAGCCAAACCGCCTATTTGAGTAGCATGTCCTGCAATTCCATGTTGGGCCGATGTCTTGTTTTGGTTGCCACACCCACCCTGAGCCTATAGTTTGCAGAATCGCTTTCTTTTGATTCCTGGTTAGGTTTGTTCCCCTAAACAAGGCTGTTGAGCTCTCTTTGGTTCGTTCTTTTCCTCATGTCACAGAAAAGAAGCCAGTTGGTGGTATGGTGTTGGTGGATGGATTGGAGACTTCAGGGCCAAAGCAAAGCCCGCCAGCTGTGATGTCTGAATGATTTTGTTGTGAGAATCCACTTGTTGATTGTGCTTCACACCCCGGGGTGCTGCGATTTTGTGTTGAATTCACCAACGTGGACTCCTGTCACTTCATGAGGGCAAGCACCCAAAAAGGCGAAGCACGCGTCAGCCTGTGTTTTTGTGCATGGGTTCGGTGTCTCCTTGTTTGTTTCTTTGTTGCTGTTTGCTTGCTTGCTTGCTTGCTTGCTTGCTTCCTTCCTTCCTTCCATCCTTCCTTCCATCCTTCCTTCCTTCCTTCCTTCCTTCCTTCCTTCCTTCCTTCCTTCCCTCCCTCCTTCCTTCCATCCTGCTTTTTTTTTTCTTTGTTCTTATTTTCTCATGGTTTCTGATCTTTCCCCTGCGGTCCCAGGCTTCCCTTGGCGGCCATCTGCCTCGCCTGCTATTGTGGGCCCACATGTCGCAGAGCCCTGCGCAGGCTTCGGCAGGGTGTCTCTTTCAAGGCGTTTCACTTGCTGCGAGAGATGCCTTGGGAATGAGAAATGGACTGACCCCAAGAAAACCATCCAACTGGTGGTTTCCTTTAAGGGGACCAAAGCCTGGGTTCATTCCCACATTCCCTACTGAGCACCAGCAAGTCCAAGAGGAAACCACCATGGTTCTCAGAAAGTTTAGGACCAGTTTTCTATGGAGCAAAAGTTTAAGGTGGTGCTTTGGGTGTCGCAGAGAGGGTTATTGTCCTCAACCTTGCTGACATGCCTCTTGGAGCTGTTGGACCCTTCATGACACACAGGTCTGCAAGAAGGCGAGCGGTAGATGAGTCTAAGTGAGTCTTGGCCATACTTGCTTTCAGGAAACCGAAAGGAAGCGAACCAGGCTTGATGTTCGGCTTCGCCCTTCTCTTGGAACGACCAAACGCTTGCGAGCGGTTTTTGCCCATGGGCTTTCTGCGAGGTGGGGTTCGGCCTCAGCGCGGCAGAACGAGTTTGATCAGGACGCGGTCGTGGTGGACCCGGTGAGTGAGAACCGAAGAGTTGGAATATTTTTTGGGGTTCAAACCACCATGAAAACAACGGGGGTTCATATTCTGCGCCATTGTTTACTAAGGGTCGTCATCCAAATTGAGCCCTGTCTTTGCCATTCTGTTGCTGCAGCCATGGGGGTTGAACCGGGTTTTTGGTTGTCGACCTCTTGTTTCACCTTTGGGGTGGTGGCCTCAACAAAGAATTGGAATCGGAGTTCCCAAGCTGCGGTTGGACAGGTAGGCTGTTGAAGCTCCAGTCCAGGTTTGGATTGCTCCTTTTTTTTGCCCAAAAGATGCTGGACAAACAAAAGGGTTGACAAACAAGTTTTGATGCACCCCTTTTGTTGTGATTGCCCTCTTGTTTTGATTGCAGCCTTTTGGTTGACCCTTTCTTCGAAACCCTCAGTTCAATTCTCGCGAAGCTCACACGACTCGCTCGGGGCCTGGGGCTCTCAGGACACCACCTTTATTCTTTGTCGCGAGCGCGAGACACCCCAGCCTCTCCACAATGCGAAAAGGGGCACGTGTTGGATCTGGTTCGACGACTGGGTTCACCTCGGTTTTTTTTCAGCGGCCCCAAAGCAACCCACCCCACCAAAAGACGAAGACGACAGCCGGGTGTAAGACCCCAGGGGTCAGCCCGCCGCGTTTGCTTCGAATCCACAAACCCGCAGGGTCCTGTTGGGAAGGACCCTGGCTGCGGGGATGTGGCCGACCTTTGCGGCGAGGAGGCGAAAACTGACGGTGCCGCGTGCTGCTTCCTTCTTTTTTTTAACGGAGCTTTGTCCTTAGATTTGGGCAGTTGAAGTGAAGCATCTGTTTTTTGGAAGCATGAGTTTCCTTTGGGTTTGATACGTTCTACTAATTCCGCCCAGCCCTGGTTTGGAGATATGAACCCATCAGCCCCTGTAGTTTTGGATGAGTGTTTCTTGAATTAGGTTTTTTGACATATATTCTGTGACAGGTTTGCGTAGGAGGGGGGGCAGCACTAACTGATTCATCCGGATCAAGTTTGCAAGACGTTGAGTTGGGTGAGCCTCAAGTTACAAGGAGACCCGTAGCTCGCCGGAATCAATAGTGCGTTCAAGGGAACCAATGAGCCTTTCGTGCGATTGGAACAGCTGCCACTCAGTTGGGTCAGTCTTTCCGCTTTGGTTGTCCTTTTGGGGAGTTTTCCGCGCCGCGAAAAGAAAGGCAGAGCCATTTGGTTGACTCATTCGCACCTCCGTCCCTCGTTCTACGAACTTTCCGTCGCAGCTTAGCTGGCAGGTGGTTGTGTTCGAAGAGGCCAGCCACGAACACCGCGAGCTCTTGAGGAGTCGGAGTGGTTAGAAATTATTTTCTCGCTGTCCATCGGCGTGACTAATGGCACATGCGGAGGTTTCTTCTGGTGCAGCAGTCCTCCCAACTTCTGTGCGCAAGAGGGAAATTTTCGTTGCCGCAACATGGAGGCTGCCCATATCTTGGCCAACGACTTTGGCCCCCTAGATCCTGTCGACGTCTGCCGCCTTGGGCTCCAATTGGGTTGCAAAGTTTTCCCTTCGCCGGTCTTCATCATCTTTTGGCTCGCTTTGAATTGTGCCTGCATGGCGCTTGAAGGACAACCTGTTTTGCAAAGCCTGAATTGGGTATGTGTTGGGTGTCATGTGTTGTTGTCAACCAAAAGCGACCATGGCTTATCTTTGATTTTGGGACAGAGATGACAAGGAAGAGAAGCATAGGTTCAACGATTTGTCTATCCATTTGGGAGGGACATGTTGACTCACTCAACTGTCCATTCAAGGGCTCGCTCACTTTCCCACTTGGTTGGACACATTTTATTCTGAGCCTGGCTTTCTGATAGACTTGTGAAAGCGATACCTCATGGCTGCGCGAGCAGAGACATGTGGCATTTTGGACATGCCGGTGAGGAGCATAGGTTCTGCGCTGGATCCGCCCGGCGTAACTCAATTCTTTAGCTTGAATCATGGGAGTTGGTTTTTGCCTTTTGGCAATGGAGATAGCTGGGCGTGTTCAATTTTTGGGAGTTGGTCCCATTTGTTGTGGTGTTCGAAGGCAAACCACAGGGAAAGGCGAGGCCATCTTGGGGTCCGAATCCTTAAAAACAAGATACACCCGGCTGTATGTCCCCCCGATGTCTCTTAATTTTAAAAAGCAGGAAGCTGATCTGATGGGAGGCTTTTGGTTTGCTAAGGGAAGCCAACTGGACGCTTGGAAAGCTTCTATTTAACCCCACATCTGGCGCATTCTGCAACAGTTTGACCGAGATCTCTCTCTCTTTCTTTCTCTCTCTCTCTCTCCCTCTCAATATACCTACATATGTATATATATATATATATATATATATATGGCTGTGGCTCAAAAAACGGTACCAAAATGGAACCCTGGTAAGTGGAAACATGGACCAAAACCTGCGTACCCCCTCCTGATTAATTTTGAGCCAAACCCATGTATATATATATATATATATAACTGGTGAGCATTTGTTTATGTCGAAAACTGTTCCTCGGGTTTGGCCCCCCACCCACGGCCAAGCATGGCGTCAGTTCCTTAGTTTAGTGCCCCAAGTTCCCCCTTCTTTTTCCTCCACTGGTAACTCCTTAGAACCCACCTGTGTATTGAACATCTTGTTTTGGCCGTTCAAGTGCCTGCAATACCTCACGCAATGCCCCTTGACACCTTGTTTGTGTCAAAGACGATTCGCAGCCCCAAGCTGGTACTTGGGCAAGAGGGGGGCAGGAAGTGCACTTGGTATCCTGGGACGCTAGGCCCTGCACATGAGCCACAATCAAAACCGATTCGGGTAGATGAAGGTTCGTAAGGGCCAGTCCCAGCCGGAAAAAAGGTTGCGGATATCCGCCTTTCTAATTCTTGAAGCATGGTTCTGGGTTCATTTTGTACCAGGTTTCGATTGTGACTCACGTTTTTTTTTGTTGTTTCCTCCGCCCCATTGCAGGAGGGACGTGCCGGGCCCATCAGGTGAGCCGGATGCGGATGCAGGCGAGGCGGATGCAGGCGAGACGTCGGAAGCGGCCACCTGACGGGAGAAAAAGATGTGAACGCTGCCGTGCCGAACGCGTGGAACGTGTGGTTTTGGGTTGCCGCCTTCTCACTGGCGATACCAACAAAAATCCCCTGAGGTGACCACGTGATCAGTGGGGATAGCCTACTTTAAATTAATTGGTATCGGAAAGGGGCGCCTTTTTCATAGCCGTGTCTGAGTTGGACAGTTCGGGGTCCACCACTTGCCACTTGCCATCGTATCCCCCATGGGAGAAAATTTGTGCGGGCGTGCTCCGCCCGAAGCCTATCACCAAGCAGCCAAGGAGGATTTGGTGTTGGACAAAGGGTCGACACTACGGTGACCTTCTCCGGTGCGGTGCAAATGACTCAGAACATCGAGCCCCGCATGGCTTGTCTTTTCGATTTTCTCGCAAGATGATGGGTCAATCCTTGGCATGTGTGAAGAACCCGCGGGCCCAGGGGCCTCTTAGAGATTCCTAGATCACCAAGTTGCGGTTTTCGTGTTTTTTTTTTGGGTCACTGCGATCGCTTTTTGGCGTAAAGTTCATGGACAAAAAGCGAGTTGCTGGTTTTTGGGGTAAAGTTCATGGACAAAAGCGATCGCCACTGGCGATCCAAGGTTGTTCTTTCCAAGCTGAAACCACACCGAGCCTTGAGCGCCTCACGGGCTTCACATCCCAGCATTGGGCCGATGGTCAAGAGGCCTGCGGCCAAGCGATCAGGTGGGGGCGATTTCGATTTCGCCTGGGACGGAGTGAGAAAGAAGCTGCACCCCTTCGGCCAAGTGGATATGGGTCCAAACTAGGTCCAAATTAGTGACCACCACTTCCAGTTGCTTTCGAATCTTTGTTATTGTCCCCATTTGGTTTTAAAGGGAAACTATCACTACTGGAAATATTTTATGACCAAGGCAACCCCATGTTGTGTACCTATTTTCGACCCGCACCCAAGTTGGGACATGGAGACAAGGCGAGATTCATGGTCAAAGGAAATGAAGCGCGCATTCCCGTTTTGTGTAATGTCCAGCGAATGTAGCGATGGGGATGATAACCCTACAAAACGGCGTACCAGAAAGGGGGCAGCCATTTTTTGCCAGCATGAATTGGCAAGGGTTGGAGCAAGAAGAGACAATGGAATGGAGGAGTCTACGCCAGTTGAGGTTTGGAAAGAACCTCTCCCGAGAACGGGTTTCTTGGCCGGTGCAAGGTCACAGCACACTTCTTTGCATGTTGGCCCTATCGGGATAGATCATCACCTCAGTTCATTAAGGTTCAACGCCATGGAAGGGACTTTTCACAAATGCTGGAGCGCTCCTGATAGCAGTCATACCAAGTAGCCACTTCGTCAGTCAGGGTGAGTCCCCGTGTGTGTTGTTCAGCGCACCAGGAGGCCATGCATCCTTTGAAGCTTGAGTGTGTCTTGCATGAATCTCTCCGGTTCTCCTATTTCTCCTTGTTTCCCTCCATGTTCACTTTTTTGTCAGCGTCTCGTATGACTCTTTCGCCCCGCCCATTGGCTTAGTTTAAGAAATCGATGCCCACCTTTTGTTCTTTAGCTTTTTCATAAATTATGCTTCAGCACATCAGCGTTGAGTACTGTTCTTTGTGCAATGACGGACAATAAGTAGCAGCAACGCGGGCACAAAGTGACCGTGTGCCGAAACCATGGAGAAATGAACATGAAGCGAAGCCTTTGCAGGGTCCTGCTTGTTTGACATGCAGCGCGCGAAGCCCTGACCTTGCGATTCGCGCAAGTCGAACCCCCTTTTACGCGTAAAGAGGCAAGAACCGCAGCCAATGATGCTGAGCTGCAACCACAAGAGGGGGCGTAGACATCTCGGAGTCGGATTTTTTGATCAGGACATAAGACGACCAAGCTGAGCCAAAGGCAGCTGGAGTCTGCGATTCTGAGGACGGGGTGTCGGGCCATGAGGCAATAGAACAGTGAACGGTTTGGGAGCGAGGATTTGCAACCCCTGATGGGCAGGGATCTTATTGGCTTCACGTGGCACGTGAGCATAGCTCAACAGCGGCAGACATATGCACTCTGGCAAGGCAGGCTGCAAGGTATGGCCGATTCCCTGTTAGGGCGGGGTGTTTCAGAGACCTGACTTGGGGATACCTGGATTTGGATGGGCGAATCACCGCCACAGCTGGGTTGGTGTGAGTTTGGGACATGGATTGATGTTCGAGCAATGTTGCCTCAAGTGCTTCCACATCATGGTGGGGCGCTTGCAGGGGGAAGTGTCGCGCTGAAGAGGCTGGCAGGTGTTCGAAGGGCAAACTAAAAGCATGAATCCATTTTACCAGGGGTGCTCCCCTTTTTCAGGAACTACCTTTTGAGCTAGGCCTGGAATTCTGATCATACCAGATTGATCCAGACCCTGTGGCTGGTGGGGATCAAGGGATAAACCAAAGGAATGTCCACTTCCATGATTCCTGGAGGGAGGGTATCAACTCAATGTAGAGAACTTGTAAGATCTTTATCTTTCGACAACTCGTCGAAATGAAAATACAGTATACCAACTCCAAACAGGGGTACAACAGCTAACTAGGTCCCCCAAAGAAGTGCCCTTTTACCCAATTTTTTGGGCAGGGTTCCCCTACTGAAATAGACTACCGGAAAGGAAACAAAAAACATCGGCACCCTTACTCTAACCTCTCTCAAATCTGGAGGACCTAGCAGACTACCCACTCGGCTTTTTGTAATTTGTTTTCGGTTTAGAGCCAACTTCCCCGTTGCAAGGCTCCCTCGACTCAAAGGACCTGAGAGCCGATGGATTTCTGGGGGACTGGATTCGGCGCCCAGGCGCTGCGCCGCCGGCCGGGATCGCTTGGACCGGAGGACAGGGTTCGGGTCGCAGGGTTCGGTCAGAAACCATCCCAAACCCGCGAGAGGTTCTGCACAAGAGGTTGTACCACCTAATTCCTGGAACATCGCCAAAAATCAGGGTTGAGGGGTAGAGAAAGCTGAACAGTCATATCTTTTGGGCCTGCGGCCTCTAGCCGGCTACGCCACAGTGATCTGCGATGCAAAATTATCCTTTTCCATGGCATGTCAATTTTATTGTGTGAAATTATACCAAGTCAAGTCATTTTATTGTGTGTGAAGCGTATCCTATGCCATGAATGATATGTCTGGTTAGGTTTTGCATTTTGCCCACTCCAGCCATCAACATATCCCAGATGATGCTCGGATGCCAGCTTTCTGAGCCCCAGCAGGGCCCCAACCGAGTCAAATCACATGGGGGCGAGCGCGCCAGAGGCCCCAGAACGCCCAGCCGAAAAAGAACAGCTCGCAAGCCAGCCCGGAAACACGAACGCAACAAAACACTGTAAATAGCAGCGTTCTGTGGCCAGGGGGGCGCGCGCCACAAGGCCCAAAAACCAAGTGGAAAAAAAGGACCGCACAGCACACGAGCCAGCCACAGCAGAAGCAAAACAAACAGAACATCAGCCCAACGCGCGGTATTTACGGCGTTTTGTAGGGCAAGGAGCCAGCATCGCCGGCATTCCCGGCAGCGCTCGGCCCCAAATTGCACGAAAATGGTACTTGCCTATATGCTCTCGGCTTTTTGGGCGGAAGTATGATGCAGACCAAGCCCTGCTGAAGCATCACCCAGGCCCAACCTCAGACCCTGATGATGTCAGCCAAACGGCCTAAACCCTGCATATACGAGATGTTTTGCGAGGTTTCCAACAGGCAAGCAAAACCGCAAGCCCGAGCTGGTGATGCAGAGGCGCTGGATTTAGGCAACGCATCACGACCAAGTGATGGGGGTCGGCGGCGCAGGGGTGCAGCCCCATAGCTAAAGCTAGCAGGCAAATTGCCTAGCGGCGACATGCTACCCCACTGCCCGACCGGCTTACAGCTTGCCAAAGACGATTTGCTTTAACAGGAAGCGAAAAGGACAGCCCACATTTAGGGGGCCAAATCCCCATTCAGAACCCAGCAAACTGCTAACCGTAGGGCATCTGTCGCAGGCTTTGGCAGCCGTGCTTGGGGGCGGCAACCGGGAGGAAGGCCCTTGGGGTAAGCAGAGACAACGCTGGCTACAGGTTGACTCCCATTTGTTGCATCGTCTTTTCAGCAACCGGCCCTGTCCCCTGTTTGCTTGCTCCAGGGGCTAAGGAAACGCGCTAAGCAGACTAGCCAAAGCAGCCAAAGCCCCGCTCCGAAAAATGATTATAGTAGACTAGCCAGAGCCCGGCAGCCAAAGCCTCAAACGGAGCCCACTAAGTGGACTAGCCAGAGCCCGGCAGCCAAAGGCCCCGCAGCAAGCACGAGAGCAAGGCACGGCCAAGGTGGCAAAGAGATAGCAGCAACGAAAACCATTGCAGTGACCAACAAACCTGGCAGAAAGCTAGCGCAGCTCAGGCCATTCGATGGGACCGTCAGTGCCTCAGGGAATTTCTCTGCATTTACTGGCCTAGACAGAAAAAAAACAAAACATTTACCCCCCCCCCAGCGCCGCCGGGAGGTAAATGCATTTTTTTGGATCAAGGGGGGGGGGCAGTAAATGCATCATATCACCCGCCTCAAGCCACTAAATGCACATGATCCCGCGGTCGCAATTTAATTACTGATGATAGGCTCCATTAACTGACCCTTGCAACGCACTGCATTTAGGCCCGCCTTGCAGCCGAAAGAGAACAAGAAACGCAAAGCTCCTTTTCTGAGACAGCAAGTGGACCCGGCAGCGCTCACGTGTTTTAAGGGCGTTTCTCGAGCGCAAAGGCCAGCACATTTACTGTTGTTTTCCTGCAACTCTGTCTCTTTGTTGCCAATTCACTGCCCTACCAGGCCTTTGTCAGTTGAACCCCTTGCGACAGGCGATCGCTGCCCGGAAGCGTAAGCCCAAGGCGACTTGATATTTGTTGACCAATTCTCGAACGACTTGCGCACCATCCTGGCGCGACTGACATGCCTCGAAGAGAAGCTGTGGGAGCACAAGGTTGCGTGTGAGCATCGCTTATTTATCAAAGTGGCCTTTTGAGTCACAACACGGTCCCAAACTGAAAGGCTCTAGAAGCTCAGATCTTCACAGCTGAGGTTGAAGCACAAGCCGGACGAGAAGTCGCAGCGCGTCCAACCGCGAGCATGGTGCAGGCGCACCTCGCTAGCTGCCTGTTGCTCTGGCAATGTGGGCGGCTTACGCTAACTTCCATTTGGCGCGGGTCGTGCTGAGATTGGGCGCCCTCCGCTACAAGTGGTTAACAAAATGCGACCTGACCGCAAAATGAGGGTTTGAAGGGCAGTTTCCAAACTTGCCAAGTAGACTAGTCAGAAGCACGAGACCAACCAAGGCGTGGCCAGGGCGCAGCCGGTCGGGCTTACTTGCGCGCAGCGGCAGTTTCTGAAGTAGACTGCCAGAGCCCAGCAGCCAAAGCCTTGCAGCAGGCACGAGAGGGCGCAGAGGGCCAGGGCGCCCACCGTTAAACCACAGCGGAGCGGGCAAAAAGCAACCCAAAAACCAAAAAATGAGCCCGAAGCGCGAGCAGCCAAGCGGCCAGGGCACAGCCCAGCCAGCGCCCAGCAGCCAAAGGCACGAGAGCAGCCAAGGCGCTGCCAGGGCGGCAGAGAGATAGGAGCAACCAAAACCATTGCAGTGACCGACAAACTTGGCAGAAAGCTAGCGCAGCTAAGGCCATTCGATGGGACCTTCGGAACCGCCCCGCCGGCGGGGTCGGCGGATTTCTTCTTGCTGGTCTGAGGGTCAGCGGGGGAAGTCTTTGAAACAAACGAAAACCGTGTTTTTTGTTGTTGGCTTCTACGCGCCGCATAACATTACACTAAGGTCCCCTTCTCAAAATTCCCTTGCGCGGGTTCTCTGCTTGTGGCCGCCCGAAAAAGGACGGCTGATGGGGTGAAGATCCTGAAGGTGAAGCCGGGCGAGGCGGAGCGCGCTGGGAAAGCGCTTTGGGTCTGGGTGTGTCTTTTTTTAAAGGTTGGACCCCAAAATGGTCGTTGTCCTGTTGGTTTCCTTGACAACCACCAAAAACTGGGTAATTATCCCCCCAAAAAAAAAACACCGATGTGGGGTCGATATTCAAGGTGTGACGTCTTTACTTCCGTTAAACATGGAACCAAACAAAAGAGGGAGCTGCAAAAGGAGATTCTACGAGGGATTGCGTTTTGGGTTGCAGGTGAATTTGTGGGGCATATTTGGGCCCAAAGTCCCTCGACCTCTACCCATCTCTACCCTCTTCAGGGGGTTCCCGCAATTTTCAGCCAACACTCAGTACAAGGGGTGGCCCTTTTCTCCAACGAGCTGCCTGGCCAGTTGCCCCCATTGCCGGGTTGGCTCCGATTCAGGGTGGTTCGGAGTGGTTCCAGGCAGAATGGGTTCCGGAAGGGTTTGGGAAGGGTTGGTGTTGGGATGCCACCTGAGTTTTTGGGTGTTTTGCGCTGGAGTTTAATCAGCCTACCAGAGCTGCGTTAATCGGATGAATGCATGTAGCAAAGCTTGTAAGGGGCCCCCCTTTGCAGTTCTGGGCACCCTTGTAATTAGCTAAGTAACCTCGTATAGTTTCTATGTTTGCCGGGCCGATTCTTCAAGGTGTGCGTCTTTACTTCCGTTAAACATGGAACCAAACAGAAGGGGCAGCTGCAAAAGGAGATTCTGCAAAAGAGTGTGTTTTGGGTTCCAGGTGAATTTGTGGGACATATTTGGGCACCCAAAGTCCCTCAACCTCCACCCTCTTCAGGGGGGGTTCCCGTGATTATCAACCAACACTCAGTGGTTTGGAGGCAAGGGGTGGCCCTTTTATCCAACGAGTTGCCTGGCCAATTGAATTGCCCCCATTGCTGGGATGGCTGGTCGTTTCACCCGACCATGTCGGGTCAGGGTTGCTGTGAGCCTTCAAACAGGGAAAGGACATCAAATTGTTTTCCTTTGGTTCCCTCTAGGACTTTGGAAGCGACCCCCCGTGTCGTCAGATGAGCCGGGTCTAATGCACGGCTTTCAGCTTGCACCAAAGGCCCAATGGAATTCACAAGTACAACCACTTGGGATCCTCCAATAGATGTTGACCCCTGAACTTATAACCACCAAGTCAACCCCGGGGGTTCTTCATAATTCAATTCCAACTCTCAGGTCCGATTTTGCCAAAAAAACAAGGATTACCAGCAAAGGGGTCCAAACCTCATGCGTCTTTCTCCGTCAAAAGCACAAAACGAATGCCTCGCGAAGGGCGCTCTGGACAGCCAGGCCGGATTTCCGGGATGGCGCCGCAAAGAGGGGCCCGGGCCCGCGAAAGCGCGGGGCGGCGCTGAGTGGTGCGCCTGCAATCTGGGGAAACAGTGGTTTTTGTTTGGTTCATGTTCGTTTATTTGGTATTAGTTTTGTTCTTGTTGAGTTGCTTCTCTATAGTATATTTGAGTGTTCTCGTGGTTTCATCTTTTTTTGTGTGTTTTTCTATCTGTGTGTGTGTGTTTCTCGTTTTTGGTTTCACGCCGTTGTTTTCTTCTGCGGAAGTCTTGGCGGACGTATTACAGGGCTTGTTTGAGTTGTGTCCATCTTTGAGCCAGTTCATTGGTTCGTTCCGCGGAAATCGGAAAGGCAGCAGGTTGATCAATCGTCAAGTGCCCCTTGGAGGTTTGGATTTTGGATTTGAAGCCCTCCCTGGCTTGGTCGATTAGCTGACATGAAGGTGCAATCAGTAAATCGGTGGCAGCACCAGCAAATGTCAAGCTCAAGAGCAACTGTGAGAGAGGTTAGGATTCGCAACTGTTCTTCGATCTGGGCCCTAAAAACCCACATCGCAAGGCTTGGCTCCCATGTGATTTCTGCCAGGTACATCCCACCCAACGCCGACCCGCGCCGCAGCAGCTTGGCCTGTCGCCAGAAGAATAACCCGATGTGAAGGTCAAAGATACTAGGTCCCCCAGTAGTGCCCTTTAACCCGTTTTTGGGGGGAAGGTTCCCCTACAAAATAGACTACAGGAAAAAGGGCGCCCTTATTCTAACCTCTCTACTGGAGGACATAGGTGAACAAGCAATGTGAGGATCCTTTGCATGGTCAACCCTGCAGCTTCGCCCGTTTTTGATTGTGACTCTTACGCGGGGAGGGCTCATCCCTCTCCAAAGAAACCATGGTTGTTGTTGGGAACCAATTCACACGTTTTTCTTATTGTGGTTTGTTGGGAAATCAGGAAATCCCCACTTAACTGCTAAAAATGGATTTTTGCTTGTTGGGAAACATTTTGCTTATTTTTGCTTATTGTGGTTTAGTGGTTGAATTCCAACCACTCAACCGCTAAATAAGCTCAGGCGATATTCCCAACAGCACGCGGTGCTCTTTTTAGTGCTCGGCAGCCCTCGCAGAACCTCGTGGAACCCTCGTGGAACTGTGGTGGAACCCTCGTGGAACCGTACCTCAGGGCCGCCCCAGACCACCCCGGAGCCTATCTGGGCTGGGACCCCAAAGCTTTCCGACCTTTCGGAACCGAAATCCGAAGTTCGAGGTCCCCCAGCCAGTCGGTGCCCGACCTCTCACGCCTTTTTTCGGTCGGGAGATTCGGTTCCCCTACCAAAACGGACTACAGAAAAACAAGTTGGTACCAACTTATTCTAGCCTCTACTGGACCTAGCAGTTTCGAAGTCCGAATTTGGGATGGGTGCCTATAGAGAAGCAGCTTGGGAGAAGCTGAGAAGCCCGCATCATGTTGCATGTTGGGACAGGTCAAACATGCCAGAGACTGTCACCGCTTTTGATACTTCAAGGTTCACGAAAGATTGCTTTGTAGAAAAGGATGCTCTGCCTCCCGGGCGTCCGAATAGTGCCACTTTTTTTTGGGGGGGGGAGGGGTCATTTCAGCATCAAGGACCAGCAACGCAAAGCAACTACGGACCCCCCACATTTGCCCGCCATTTTGGGATACTTGGTTGAACCTAGGGATGACGCAGCACAAGGGCGACAACAAGGAATTCAGCTCGAAGAGTTGCTGGCTGTTTGTCAGCGGACCAATAACCCAGGTTTTGTTTTTCTTCCGAAGGACTCTATTTGGTCCAGCCAAGGGATGCTCTTCGCACCTTGATTTTGATATTGGGGAGTTTCTCAAAATGACGGAATTCCACCTGAATTCCCTCTTTTGGTCGGTGAAAAAGGAAAGCAAAAAGAAACCACAAGTTGCCACTTCAGGAAATCGAGGAAATGGCCTTCTTTTTCTTCGAGCCATTTGGCTTGGTGCCTTTCTCTTGGGTTTTTTGGGACCACACAATCAGGCGGTTCGTCATCCAAATTGGGTCCCAAGCCTCTGCAGAGAAGAGCCTGGCTGCGGAGCGCCTTGCCACGGAGCTGTCGGCAGTGACTCGCGGCCAGCTGACGCGAGCTCGGAGGCTGACCTATCGCCTGCCAACGCCGCTCGAGAAGGGCTACCACGTCTTCGTGCTGGGAGCGGATGCTGACGCTGGGGAGTCCATGCGCGGACGGACCGCGCAGGGAAAAATTGGAAACACCATGGTTCACTGGCCACGCGGGGGCGGGGGTGGTTTTCGTCTGGCTGTTGGAACCACTCCTGCATTTTAACCGTAACCCTGAAGTATCTTGAAGTTCATCAAAGGAGGTTTAGGTAGAAGACTCCCGTACGAAAAGTTGAAATGGGCGTAAAGGATGGAAGTTCGACCTGTGCGAATCACACCCCCAAACCATACCACGAATCATACCTCCAAAACCATACCCCGAATCATACTCACTACTACTACTACTACTGCTGCTGCTGCTTCTTCTGCTACTACCACCACCACTACTACTACTACTACTACTACTACTACTACTACTACTACTACTACTACTACTACGACTACTACTAGTCTTTTAATGGGGATTTCACCGGCGACCTCGTTCAAAACCGGGCTCCAAAGCATCAATTTGGAATCTCTCGAAGAACCGGGTTGAACCTCATCCAAGTTGGGTTGCCATTCTTTTCACGGCCAAACACCTTAGGGAGGGTTGATTCACAACCTGCCATATTCGGAAACGGGCCATCTTTTCCTTCGAGCAATTTGGCAATTTGACGGTTTGCTGCCTTTCTTTTGGACCATTGCAGGTTCACCCAGAACTTGGGCGACCCGAAAGATTCATGTTTCCCTCGTTCGAAGCTGCAACATCAAAGATTCCAAGAATTGGACACCAAAGACCGCACCTCAACCACCCTGCAGCGTATCCCCCTTCAAGCAAAAAAGGAAAACGGATTCTTCGATGTTCAAATCCATGGCTCCCCCGTTTTCGGTGTTTGGTGTTTGCCTCTTTCCCTGGTTTTGGGTCTTTTGGCACGTGGAAAACCGAAAAACGGACGGATCGATCCCTCGGATGCGTCGGCGGATTCGGATTCGCCGAGGGATGCTCTTCCTCCACGGGGGGAGCTACGTGGTCTACGCCCCCAAGGACGCGGTCTACCGGTCGCTGGCCTCGCGGATCGCGAAGCGCTGTGGTGTGGCAGCCCAGAAATTGCCCCGGGCAGTCGGAGGTGGGGCTGGTGAGTGGGTGGGGTTGGGTCTGGTTTGGTTTGGTTTGGTTTGGATTGGTTTGGGTTGAGGATCCTTTCAAGTACTGTAACACGTTGGAGCCAGAAAAATGGCCGCCGGAAAGAGGGCAAGAGTTCATGGTGCGAGGATACCTGGAATTGGTTGAAAGTCCAAGCTCCGAAGAGCCAAGTATCTTGGCCACAACTTTGAAAGTAATTCTTACATCGAAGGTAGACTTCTTGGGGTGACTCAAGGCTCTAAACTCACTTTGAGAAATGAGTTTCCTTGGGTGATGTGTCCTCTTTTTTTTCCCCCGTTTGGTGCTTGGTTTGGATTTTTTGGCCAGTGTCATTTGCCCGCCTCAGGCAGCCACTGTCTCACCTGGCTGCGTGAGACTAGTTAAAAAGAAAGGACAAACCCTTGATTTCGACATCCCTGAGTCCCTTACACCTCCACGATCCAACTCAAGTCCTCAAAAAGCACACTAAAATTCCCTCATCAGCACCACCATCACCGTCACCCTCACGATCCCCATCACCCCGACTTCGGGGCCAATCGACGAAATCGATCCCTCACTCCCTGAGTTGCACCTCTTTTAGGGGAAGGGAAACCCAAACGAAAGCCATCATTTACGGAGCGTCCCCTGTTTCGAGACAAGCCATTTGCGATCGAAACATACGTTTCAGATCGTTCCCTTCTCCCAGCGAGCCGGAACATGGCATTACCACTTGATTTGTATGCATACGGATAGGAAACGTATTAGTATCATTAGTGCATTTCATTGGTAAATTGGTGGGTGTTAATCAAGGTCGAAAAACGTATCCCAGCGAGCCGGAACATGGCATGACCTTGTTTTCTTCCCCAGAATGCGCTCCCCTGTTTTTAATGTGTTTTTTTTCTTGTTTGTTTGGGTCCCACTGGTTTTTCCCCTTGGCACCCGACTCGTTGTGTTTTTCCCAAACCTGAGGGAAGCGAGGCCGGTCCTTGGCTCAGTTGTTCAGTGGCTCCCTTTTTCCTTTTCGACTTTTTTTTGGTGCCTGCCCCACTAAAATGGTCTTCCCAAAAAAGGGTTCCCTTTTTTTCCAGGGTCACTGAACAACTGAGTTGGGTGATCCAAGTTTTCGGCGAGGCCTCTGCGTACTGTCCTTGGACTACCGCCTGGCGCCGGAGCACCTATTCCCCGCGGCGCTGGAGGAGTTCGATGTCTGAAAAAAGCCAAGCTTCCAATGGCTTTCCCTGTTGGTTTTTTGGGGAATGGATAGTGTTTAATGTCCCCTGTTGGCTGTTTTGGGAAATGGATAGTGTTTACTTTTCCCCTGTTGGCTTTAGTTTTTCCAGGTGGATGACAGTTCAGCTTCCCTCTTGGCGGTAGTTGGGTAAGGTGACGGGCTTCCCCATTTATCCTCTACAAGGCCTTGAAATCCAAATCCAAACCGGGCCAAGCACCTGACGCTAATGCTAGCTGAAGAGTTGCTTCGATTTGCAAAATAGGTAGCCTTTTTAGGTTTTAGGTTGGTTTGGTTAAAAATAGATGGCACTGGTTTAGATGGGGTTTATTCCATTTACCAGGGCCACCTAGTTTTCCAAAAGACCACCTATGTGAACTAAGGATTGGAATCGGTGATCCAAAGAGGACATGTAAACAACGATCCCGCTTCCATTCTGTCATACATCGTTCCTCGAGGAATCCGCTGAACTTCGGAAAAAAAAGTATTTCGCCATCTTGTGGGAACCATCACTGAAAGAAATGGTGCAATTATATCCATAGTCTTGTGTGTGGTTTGCTTGCGTCTGCTTGCGTCTGCTTGCGTCTGCTTGTGTGTGTGTGTGTGTGTTTTTGTTGTTTTGTCTGTGTGTGTGTTTGTTCTCCGGAGTGCGATGCGGGTGCGCGCACGTTTTTTTTCCTTTTTTTTCTTCTTTTTTTTCCGTGTCCTGCGTGTTTGTGAATGTTTATTTGTTTGTTTCCTGGCTTGCTTGCTTGTTTGTTTGTGTGTGTTTCGCGTTGGCTTTTCCAAGGCTTGTGTTGGGGATGGACCCTGTTTTTTGGACCGCCAGGTTTTTGGACCCAACCACGCGCATTCACTCACCGGGTCCCCGCTTGCGAGGATGCGTCGGATGCGCTGCAGTGGTTGGCCATGAACGGGCCGCCAGGGCAAGGCTTGAGCTGATTGGCACATGGCCGTGGGTCCCCCAGTAGTGCCCTTTCTCTCCCCTTTTTTGGGAGATTCGCTTCCCCTACTAAAATAGACCTAAAAGAGAGAAGTTGGTGCCCTTATTCTAACCTCTCTACTGGAGGACCTAGTCCCATCCATGGGTCATATCCTATGTCGATCCCATTTTGGGGGGGAATGAACATCCGTGTGCCACCTGTTTTGATGTTCACCAGAATTACAGGGTTTTGACAACCACAGCCAGGGCCCCCCGACATGAGCAACCAGAAAGTTTAGAGTCTTTCTGTGCCAATTCACTTGGGAAGTGAGTGTTACAATGATCGATTGTGTCTATGTGAGGGGTTGATCTATATTCCATCTAGGGCCCCCAAATGACAAATATGGGTAAGTTTCCTGTTTAGTGGGGAAAGTCATCTTTTTGTGTGGTTTCCCTGATGGTCATCCCATGTAAAGGACCTTTTGATCAACCCCCACATCTCACAGGATCCCCCACCCACCCCCCCACCCCCCCCCCCACCCCCCCCCCCCCAGACCCTCCCGGTTTTTCCCGAACACTTTGGAATACATTCAAGGGTCTTATGCATCGGTGCACGGCAAATCGCTGCACGCTTTTCCCGTCGCCAAGTCATTTGCTCAGCTCGGAGGCTCCGGAGACTGCGACCTCTTTGCCGCGCGCTCAGGCTAAACAAGCGATGAGGGAAGCGAACGGAAGCCCAGTTCGCAACTCGAGCAGGTACTTCCCTGTAGATGAACATGGAACCCAAAAAACGAGGTTCCTCAAGAGGAGACGTTTGTGAAAACCGATGTTTTGTTGGGTTCCATGTCAATTTGCAGGAGTGTAAACCAGGGTTCCTTACCTGCATGATTGCTCCCGGCCTGTGGCTTGCAAGCACTGGAGAAGTGGTTTTGGTGTGTGCGTGTGTGACTCGCATATGGTTGTGGGTCAAAACCAAGGGGATCCCATTTTGGGGTAGGTGAATTCACGCCGATTTGGCGTTTGACCCATGGCCATATGACAAACAATGGTGGCTGAGTGTTGAAACGATCAAGGCCTGCTGATCTTACTTGTCTTGGGCCTAAGGCTTAGGGTTTAGGGTGCAGGTAGTCCCACTGGGTGCCCCAGCGATCGGTGCCCGACCTCTCACCCCTTTTTCGGTTGGGAGATTCGGTTCCCCTTCTAACCTGACCCATCCAAAGGGCCGGTGTGGAAAAGGCACGTCCTGCTTTGAGCCAAGTGTTCTACGTTGGAAAACCCTCCGGAAACCCGAAGCTAAAGTGTTGTCGATTGGTACCCCGTCTGCTTGGTTTGGAGTGGTTTGGAAATGGATTTGAACCCCTGACCTTTGAGTCTACATGGGGGAACCCCTCCATCGATCCAAGCCGGGCTCCAAAGCTGATCTGGCTTCCAAGGGAGCCAAACATCAAAGGAAGTTTCCATTTTCAATTTTCATTTGGTTCCATTTCATCAAGCCAAACACCAAACATCAGTTTCCATTTTTCTTTTCACAACTTCAAGCTTGTTTCTCCCAAGGCCCCTGGAAAACCCTTTTCCGCGCCCGCCCGCGGAAACGTCTCCTTACCAGATCTCAAGCCGAGGTGTGTGGGGACAGCGCGGGGGGCGGCCTGGCCCTCTCGGCGGGATCCCGTCGAATCCGATTCCGATCGCCGCAGGAGGTGTGTAGCACTGCAGCACCCGCTTCAGCGCTTTTTGGCATGCGGTGTTACGGCCTTCTTGTTTTTTGGCTCCATGTGGTTTTTTTGTGTTTTGTTTTTTGTGTTTTGTTTTTAAAAGGATCCTGTTCATTTGTTTTCTGGGGGCTGCAAGAGCAAAGTTTCTTGCCAGCATACCAAGAGGAGATGTCCGATTTCGGAGGGATCGACTTGGGTGCCCTTTGTCAGCTTCCTTCCAATTGGTCTGCAGCCGAATCAGTGGTTTGGTTCGTGGGAAACCCCACTTACCCTCTACAAGAACCAGAGGTTCAACTCCATTTCCAAACCACTGGTGAAGGGTTACCTGACTTTGGGGATTGGTTGAAAGGGAAGCCAACCGAAACACCCAGCCATTTTTTGGGTCCAACCTTTAAAAAAACAAGTCCTTTTGATAGACAACAACTAGATGTGTTGCCATGGTGTTTTTTTGATAGATTTGAATTCCGTTCAATTCGTTTGGTTTCTGTGTTTGTTTGTTTTGTGCGCTTGTTTGTTTTGTGTGTTTCCTTGCTTGCTTGCTGGCTTGCTGGCTGGCTGGCTGGCTTGCTGGCTGGCTTGCTGGCTGGCTGGCTTGCTTGCTGGCTGGCTGGCTTGCTTGCTTGCTTGCTGGCTCGCCTGTGCGTGTGTTTGTTTGTTTCTTTGTTTGTTTATGTATTGATTTATTTGTTTGTTTGTGTGTGTTGTTTGTGTGTGTGTGTTTGTTGTTTTGGTTTGTTTTGTTTTGTTTGTTTGTTTAAATGTTTGAATGTGTGTATGCGTATGTCTGTATATTATCGTTCTTTGTTGTTTGTTTGCTTGCTTGCTTGATTGTTTGTGTGTCATGTGTGTTTGTTTGTTTGTGTGTTTGTTTGTTTGCTTGTTTGTTTGGTTGATTGGTTTGCTTGTTTGTTTGTTTTTTAGCTATTCTTGCGTTGGTTTGTGGCTCCCCCTGGACGTAAACGCGCGTTTCACGCTTTTACCAACTGCGTTTCGTGCGGCTTGCGCAGCATTTCGAACAGTTTGACTTTGCCCAGCCAAGTTCCATATGGCATTTCGCATGTATCGTAGGGCGGCACGAACGAGCATCTCGCGTTTTCACCAAACGTGCGCCCGCTCAGCACCCGCACAGCACTACACACACACACACACGCACGCACACACACACACACACACACACACACACACACACACACACGCCTACCAGATGGTAAGGACACCCGCCCAAGGGCGCCCGCTCAGCACCTGATCAACAGCAACAGCAACAGCAACAACAACAGCAACAGCAACAGCAACAGCAACAGCAACAGCAACAACAACAACACCAACAACACCAACAACACCAACACCAACAACAACAACAACAACAACAACAACAACAACAACAACAACAACAACAACAACAACAACAACAACAACAACAACAACAACAACAACCACAACCACAACCACAACCACAACCACAAACAACCACAACCACAACCACAACCACAACCACAACCACAACCAACAACAACAACAACAACAACAACAACAACAACAACAACAACAACAACAACAACAACAACAACAACAACAACAACAACAACAACAACAACAACAACAACAACAACAACAACAACAACAACAACAACAACAACAACAACAACAACAACAACAACAACAACAACAACAACAACAACAACAACAACAACAACAACAACAACAACAACATAACAAACCAACCACCAACCACCAACCACCAACCACCAACCACCAACCACCAACCACCAAACCAAACCAACCAACAACCAACAACCAACAACCAACAACCAACAACCAACAACCAACAACCAACAACCAACAACCAACAACCAACAACCAACCAACAACCAACAACCAACAACCAACCAACAACCAACAACCAACAACCAACAACCAACAACCAACAACCAACAACCAACAACCAACAACCAACAACCAACAACAACAACAACAACAACAACAACAACAACAACAACAACAACAACAACAACAACAACAACAACAACAACAACAACAACAACAACAACAACAACAACAACAACAACAACAACAACAACAACAACAACAACAACAACAACAACAACAACAACAACAACAACAACAACAACAACAACAACAACAACAACAACAACAACACAACAACAACAACAACAACAACAACAACAACAACAACAACAACAACAACAACAACAACAACAACACAACCAACAACAACAACAACACAACAACAACAACAACAACAACAACAACAACAACAACAACAACAACAACAACAACAACAACAACAACCACAACCACAACCACAACCACAACCACAACCACAACCACAAGCACCAAGCACAAGCACCAAGCACCAAGCACCAACAACCAACAACCAACAACCAACAACCAACAACCAACAACCAACAACCAACAACCAACAACCAACAACCAACAACCAACAAACAACAAACAACAAACAACAAACAACAAACAACAAACAACAAACAGCAACCAACAAGCAGCAACCAACAATCAACCAACCATCAACAAACAACAAACAACAAAGAACAAACAACAAACAAACAACAACCAACAAACAACAAATAACAACCAGCAACCAGCAACCAGCAAACAGCAACCAGCAACCAGCAACCAGCAACCAGCAACCAGCAACCAGCAACCAGCAACCAGCAACCAGCAACCAGGAACCAGGAACCAGGAACCAGGAACCAGCAACCAGCAACCAGCAACCAGCAACCAGCAACCAGAAACCAGAAACCAGCAACCAGCAACCAGAAACCAGAAACCAGCAACCAGCCAGCAACAAGCAACAAGCAACAAGCAACAAGCAACAAGCAACAAACAACAAACAACAAGCAGCAACAACCACAACCACAACAACAACCACAACAGCTTTAGGAAAATTGGCTGACTGCATGCCTGAACCCATGCTTCTGATAATGCCCAAGCCCGGCGCCGGGCCCACTATGGCTACCTTCTGTTGATTCATTCTGCTTATTCTGACCGCCACGGTCAAAAGCATGTTGATTTTTCATTGGCCCGCGTGACAGATTTGAAGCCTTTGAAGCGTGCGGTGCCGCATTGTCTGGAGCGCGCGCGGGTACGTAACGGTGGTGTCTTTGTTTGTTTGCTTGAGGCTTGTTTGCCTGTTTGTTGTTTGTTGGTTTGTTTGTTTGCCTTTTTATAGTTGTTTGTGCTTGTGTTGTTTTTTCTTGCTTGTTGTGTTCTTTGAATGTAAGGCTTGCTTGTTGGTTTGATTGGCTGGTTGATTTTTGTTGTTTGTGTGTTGTGTTGGTTGGTTGGTTGGTTGGTTGGTTGGCTTTCTTGTTGTTGTTGTTTTTGTGTGTGTGTGTGTGTTGGTTTTCTTTGCTTGTTTTTTTGTCATTGTTGAGGTTTTCTGTTTGGTGTGATTGTTTGTTGGCATCTTGTTGCTTGTTTGCAGCTTTGTTTGTTCGTTCTGCTTGTTGGATTGTTTTTGTTGTTTGCTTGCTTGCTCTCCCACTCGCTCGCTTGTTTGTTTGCTTGCTCTTTTGTGTTTGTTCTTTCGAGTGGTTGATTGGTTTGAGTGATTTGGTTAGTTTCATTAAGTTGGTTTGTTTGTTTTGTGTTGGTTTGTGTGATTAGCCATGGTTTAATCCATCACCAGGGATGTCGCGATAGTGACTGACCGGTGGTGTTTGTTTGGCTCAAGTTTACGGGTTCCGTCGCGCCTCGGATGGGCGTCGCCGAACCCCTGCGTCGACCGACGACATCTCGGGGGAGAAAGAGACCTCGGGCCGCCGTCAGGTTAGTAGGGACTACTCGTGCGGCCTGTCGTCGATCAAGGTTGCGGGTTAACCTTTTTCCCTTTTGGTTGTTGTTGTTCTCTGGTGTGTGGGAAACCCTGATCTTTGGGACCGGGGATTGGTTTGCTTTTGGGGAGCCTTTCTTTTGTGGCTCGTTTACCCCAACTTACCCATTGCCTGGGCACAGGCTCGTGCCCGAATCACAGGTTATCAGCCGTAGGACTTTCCTACGCGCTTGAGACCATCAACTACAAGTTCAATGACGTCGACCCCGCGATCTCACAGGAGTGTCGTGGATGAGGAGGCTATCCTACGCTCAGGTGAGGACCTGCCGGACTACGGGTTGACCGTAGGGGTGATGATCCCGATAGGGACACACCGCCCGCATACGGACAACCTGGAGGCCATGCCTAGTCGATCTCCTAGGTCTCTTTTTCCAAGTGAATCGCAGGCCCCGGAAGATTCGAGGACAGGCCGCATGGACCAGGAACCATGGTTCTGGCTCCGAGAGATATCTCGGGCCGATCCACTGCGCCTCAAAATCCAGGTCAGTTTGATGAGCATGAGGAGAGGGCATTCGCAGGCATCGGATACGATGCCCTATTGTCGTCGGCACTAGAGTGAAGCCTGAGTCTGATACTGATAGGCTCAACCCGGTTTCAACGACCCCGTATGATTTCGGTGATGATTAAAAGCATGCCGCATTTGCGGATGCTCGTGAGAAAGAAGAGAGTATGTCGTACCGAAGTGCGAGGATTCGTGACGCTGCAAGGGCCAGGAGTCTAACTCGTGGAGCTGCAAGGGACATTCGTGAGGACAGGGACACTCGGAGTGAGAGGGAACGGGTCCGGGAGAGTCGGGGACGAACCAGTATTCCGGTTAGTGTCCTCGGTTCTCCAAAAGTGATATTCGGAAAAGGACATTCGGGACGGTTTCAATCACGGGAGGACCTATCGGTCCCCTTCCGTCATGGATGGCCTCCAAACCCCTAAGGGTGCCACGATCACTGAGCGTGCTGCTAATGTGGTTGAAGCAGGTGCAAGGGACGGAAGACTTGCAGATGCACTTGAAATCGAGGACCGCCCGCCGATCGCAAGCCCGTTAGGGCGAGATCTCAGCGACCTCGAGCCACTAAGG